CCTCCACCCTTTCGCCCCCCCCTACCTTGGTAAAAAGTCCAATACAGTTCCAATCTTTACTCATCCTCCCCCAAACCATTCCCAATATTGTCTCCCATACGACATCTCTGAATTCCGAAACACTTGAAGCAATCTCTGAATATATTGCAGAACCAAACCATCAAGGGACACTGATCCACCTTCCGCTCTTCCTCTCTCCTCTGCTCCATCTGCGCAACTCCTTTCTTCAAAAGCGCACCATTCCTTCGCTGCTTGACATTTCCCTGCCTCCGCATGTGGACTTTTCTAACCCTTCTAGTCCGTAGGAACCCTTCCCTTTGCGATTTAAAGGGTATCTTTATCATTGCCAATCATAGCCTTTTTACAGTGGAATATAACGGGGGCCTCAGGGGAATCGGGGGTGAGCTTAAAGTATGTTACCTCCCAGTTTGCCCCTGTTGGTTGTTTGCTTACAGGAACCAAAATTAACACTCGCTGTTATTTCTCACACTCAGGCTAAAATTATTGTATTCTTCAGATCCTTTTCCTGAGGGACCTTTAATGAAAGTGCCCTTCTTCTCCGCACTGATATTCCGTACCATCAGCTATTTGTTCATACTTCGCTGCATTACACAGCAGCCCGTATCCACTTACATAGGTGGTATACGCCTGTTCTTTATATCTCTCTCCTCCTCGGGCATTATCTATTCCGGATTTTGCCTTCCTTGTTTCGTCATTACCGCCACCGATTCTGTTACTTGGTGATTTTAAATGCCCACCTTTTTCCTCTGGGGGGTCTCACTGTGATTCCCGTGGAATTCATTAGAGGCTTTTTTGCCACCCACCCCCTCCATGTTTTAAATACAGTACTCACACCCATTTTGATCCTCGGACTCATACTCTCTCTTGCATCGATCTCTCATTTTGGGCTCTTCCTCCGCCGCATTAGACTTTACTTGGTCTGTTTCTCCCGGACTTACATGACAGTGATCATTTCCCAATCATTCTTACTTCCCCTTCATATTCCCCAAACCTTTTCGCACCCCACGCTGGCAATTTAATCGGGCAAATTGGAACCTTTACTCACAACTGACTGTTTTTAAAGGGGTTCCTTCTTCGTCCTCCATCGATGAGCTTTTACACCTCTTCTCGTCCTCCGTTTTCACCGCAGCTTCTCATTCTATACCCCAAACTTCGGGCAGGCATTCTCAGAAATGCGTGCCTTGGTGGTCTCCTGCTTGTGCTCGTGCAGAAACGTTTGAAACGCGCTGCATGGGGCAGGTACCTTTACAATAGAACCACAGAGCGACTCCTTGATTTTAAACAGACGCGTGCGATCGCTCGCCGTGCCCATCCGTGACGCTAAACGCACTTGCTGGCGAGATTATGTCTCCACCATCACCTCTGCTTCCTCTATGAGTGCAGTCTGGAAAAAAGTACGAAAACTGAGTGGTAAATATTCTCCTGACCCGGCCCCTGTTCTGGGGGTTGCCGGTGTTGATATAGCAAACCCACTAAATGTTGCCAATGAAATTGGCAATCATCTGGTCCGTATTTCTCAGGACTCCATCTATGCCCCTCATTTCTTTCCTCAAAGTCTGCCAGAGAGTTAGCACCCTTGGACTTTTCTTCTCTCAGAGAAGAACAGTATAATGTGCCTTTTACACTTCAAGAACTGGGGCAACACTCTCAGCTTGTCGATCATCGCAGCTTGGGCCCGACGACATTCATATTCGTATGCTACAACATTTACATCAGTCACCCCTTTTGCAGTCCTATTACGCCTTTACAATCTTATTTGGTCACAAGGAGTTTCTTCCACAGCTGTGGAAATCCGCCATTGTTCTCCCTTTCCGCAAACCAGCACTACGGGACAAAGAAACCTCCCACTATCGTCCCATTGCTCTTACCAGTGCAGTTTGCAAAGTAATGGAACGTCTAGTAAATAGACGTTTTGTGTGGTATTTAGAGACACACAACAGTCCCCCTTTCCACTCGTCAATATGGCTTTTTGTAAGGACGTTCTACCCTAGACCCCTTACTGCGCTTGGATACGTATGGGTTTGTAATGCCTTTGCGATAACCACTCATTTTTTGCCATATTTTTTGACCTTGAGAAGGCATATGACACAACTTGGAGGTATAATATTTTAGCCCAAGCCCATCCTTAGGCCTTCGAGGCAATCTACCATCCTTCCTTAAGAACTTTTTAAATGACAGGCATTTCCGTGTTCGGTTAATAAAAGTGCTCTCCCCGGACTTTGTCCAAGCTGAAGGTGTCCCCCAGGGGTGTGTTCTGAGCACAACACTTTTTCTCCTTGCTATTAATGATTTGGCCTCTAGTCCCTTCCATCAAATATTTGGTCATCACTCTATGTTGATGACTTCGCTATTGCCTGTGCAGGCGCTGACTGTCACCTCCTTACAGTTTCTCTCCAGCATGCAGTCGACCGTGTTTCCAATTGGGCCCACCACACATGGGTTTAAATTTTCCAGCACTAAAAACCCCCCAAATCACCTTTCACTAGACGCTCTGTCATCTCTGATCATCCTTTGTACCTCTATGGCTCACGTATCCCTGAACGTGATACAGTCAAGTTTCTGGGCCTCCTCTTGATCGTAGGTTTATCCTGGAAACCTCACATTACCTCCTGAAGGCAACTTGTCACAGCGGCTGAACCTTCTTAAAAACCCTTGCTCATCTTTCGTGGGAGCTGATCGTCGAACCCTCCTTCACTTACATTCCACCCTTATTTTAATCGAAACTTGATTATGGTGACCAATCTATTCAGCGGCATCTCCTGCTACTCTCTCTAGCCTAACCCCATTCATCACCAAGGATTACGTTTATGCCTTGGTGCTTTTCGCTCTTCCCCCGTCGAAAGCCTCTATGCAGAAGCGAACGTTCCATCCTTACCGATCGCCGTGATGCCCATTGCCTACGCTACTATGTACGCTCTCATGATCTCCGCAATCCTTCCCTTTATAGAAATGGTCCTGATATTAGTAGACATTCTTTATTTGTTCGCCGCCCCTGCTTACTCCGTCCCTTCTCTCTTCGCCTTCATTCGCTCTTGTCTTCTCTTCAACTACCACCTTTCTATGTACATGTAGCATCTCACTTTTCCCTAACCCCCCCTGGGAAGTTCCAGCTGTTTTGAGTCTGTTTTTTTCCCTCCCTTGCTCGGAAAGGGCCCCAAATGTCTACGGTCGCTTCCCGCTCTCTTTTTCTTGACCACTTTCACTCTCATTCTCATGCCCTTGCTGTGTACACAGATGGCTCTAAGTCTTCTGACGGGGTAGGATTCGCGCAGTGTTTTCCGGACAGCGTCGTACAAGGGCATTTACTATCTTCAGCTAGTATTTTTACTGCTGAATTATATGCCATCCTTACAGCACTTATCCGTATTGCATCTATCCTGTGTCATCATTTGTGGTTGTCTCAGACTCCCTTAGTGCTTTACAGGCTATACAAAAAATTTTATACACCTCACCCCTTTGTCCTCCGTATCCAACTTTGCTACGCCGCATCTTTACTAAGCATAAAGATATTGTTTTTTGTTGGGTCCCTGGGGCATGTTGACGTACAGGCAATGGAAAAAGGCAGGGCACTGCTGCGCGGGCAGCAGTACATGACCTACCAGTTTCTTATAGAGGTATTCCCCTGTAAAGGACTATTTTGCTGTAATATCTTCCCCCCTTCACACCCGTTGGCAACCCAAAGTTTGGGCTACTAGCTCGGCAACAACTTCAGTCTATTAAACCGAGTATAGGTTACTGGCCGTCTTCTTATCACCAGTGTCGAGGTTGGGAGACTACTCTCCCCGTTTCGCATTGGCCATACTCGTCTTACTCATGGATACTCATGGAGAGGCGTCTTGCTCCTCTCTGTGAGAATTGCCAAGCTCCATTTATCAGTCAGCCACATTCTGTTGGACTGCCCACTTTATCAACGAGCACGCAGAATTTACCTCTGTCGTCGTCTTCGCCCCGCTGCTCTCTCTTTACCTTCCCTTCTCGCTGATGGACCCACCTTTTATCCGGACTCTCTTTTGACTTTTTGACAACGACTGACTTACTTCACAAATTCTGATACTTTCAGCCCTTTCTACTTGTATCTCTTGCTACCCTCTACCCCCGTACTATCCCCTGCCCCGCTGTTTTCTGTAACCTGCTGATCATCCCCCCTCCCTCCTGCCATCCAATTCCCTTGCTTCCTTCCCTACCCTGCAGCGCTGTATAGCCCTTGTGGCTTAGCGCTTCTTTTTGATTATAATAATAATCTTCGTTTTTCTTATTATGTCCAAGAATTTGTATTGATAAAGCCACTGGATGGCGAAACGTCTACAATAAAGATAACCAGATGTTGCACAAGTGTCTTAACTTTCGTATGTGCTTAAGGCCTTATATAGACTTAAGAGCGGAACACTGTCAGATATTATAGGTACTAAGGGGCTTTATTTTTACGTGGTCCTTCCGAGTGAGGCTCCGTGAAGCCTCAGTTTCACAGGCTCTGTTGGACCCCTGTTCTTTTAGTTTCTCTAACTTCTTGGTCCAGAGATTCGATCTCAGTGGTGAGAGCCGCGCTTCTCACCATTACAAATATATTCGTATATAAAAAAAAAGAATGATTACTATCACAGTACCTGTTTTAAGTTAAGGTACTAAATTTATGGCATTACATTACCCTCATATACTGTGTTAAAGTCGTACAGCGCCTGGAAATGGAGGGTAATCAAGTTTGACCGAATGAAGAGAATTGTATCAAAAATTCCTTCACCAGTATGAAGTCGCTACTCTTTTGAAGGTATAAATAGTGTCTAGGTTTCAAGGGTAGTGACCCCTCCATGGAGGTTTCTAGACGCTGGTGAGGGGCTCTCGATCTAGGGAATTGGATGTGTTCCAGTTGTCTGAATACCTTCCATCCTCCCCCCAACCTGTGCTGTATAACCCTACGGGTTCAGCGCTCCCCCATGAGTAATAATAAAGGGTAGTGAAAAAGGGAGTCACAATATCTGGTTTATTGGATAATGTTAGCTACAGAGTCTTGAGACGTGGTAAGGTTACAATGTCGACTAAACCTGTGGATTGTGATGTCTGATCAACTGAAAGTGAAAAACAATGGATTCTAGTGTTTGTACTTTGGAACTCAACGCTGTTAGCTTAAGTGATAGAGTCGACCTCGAGAAAGCTAATTTATGTTAACAAAATATATTTGCTATAGGACAAAATATAGCAGTTTCTAAATAAATACAACACATTATGTACAAGAATTCATACTTAAACAGTCTACCTCCTCTTTACAAAACTGTGTCGCAAGGGAAATTAAACCTCAGGGTCCTCTCCATTAAGGCTGATTTTTTGCCTTCCTGCCACGAGACACAGGATAGCCTCTCCCGCTTATATAGAATTATTTAAAGCACTTGTTTTTAATATTTATTGTATGATCACACCTTGTACGTATGAACCACAATTTTTCTGTATATTTATAGTGTGTAAAATAACCACAGGGGGAGTTGAATGATAGCCTTTCGTTTGCTACAATCAACATATCAGGAGCTTGCGATGTTGTAGGAAGCCCAAGTTGTATCGTTCAGGGGAACGATTCTAGCTGGAATAGGTAAGGAGGCAGACACACCAGTGCCAGGAAGATAGAATATTAAAGCATTAGAAGACAGCCTGCCCACAAGCAATGATAATGTAGTAACGACCTAGCGAAACTAACATTAGTGATAAAACAATTATCAAAAATTCGGCCAGACTTCGATATATAAAAGATTTTAAATTCTCAATATAGATATATTTGGGAAAATGTCATATTAAGAAAACTGGTCTATGGCAGACTCGCTTAAAATGAAAGGGAGACATCTATAGTTTATCTATCCGGCCCAGTTCTTAAGCATATGCGGGTCTAACACAAGAAGACCCCCAATTCCACGGTGTGGAACCAGGACACTTCATACAATCCACAACTTTCGTATAGGAATCTGGCTTCATGCTATTCGCGATGGCCTCTATTATAAACGAATCGAGTTTGAACAATCCAAAACTATTATTATATAATGAGCGTTTATCATATTTTATAAGTGCCGATTCTGAAATAAGTTTTTCCAGCCATAAGGTACAAGGAACTAAGAGCTTCCGGCCAATTTGCAGGACTGTAGCAAACTTGGAGTTAGAACGATACTACTTGGGCTTTCTACAACACTGCAAGCAACAAGGCCTAGAGCTATCATTCAACTCCTCCTATGGTTGTCCTGTGCATATATATTAATTATGATTAAAATAGAAATAGTCATAAAACCGACATGTCAGCATATAAGGAGTATAAGATAACACAAGTACCATACTTGACATTTTCCTGAGATCTTGTTTCCGTCTCCGGTATGCTGACAAGACATTTATGCGCTCAAGCAACTTTTATCTCGACAATGTGATGTTTAAATAGAGATTTTTTCTTAAAGCTCAACTTCAAGTGAAACATCGTCTCGATAGTTTTGTTCGAAATACTTGGCTTTGAAAGATGTTCGTACAATAATAAATATGATTGTTAGTTATACAATGATTAAATTTACCAAAAGGTAATCCAAGAATTATGAAGTTTGAAGCTAATGTACATCATAAAGGTAGTTAACCTTAAGTCACAAGATTAGCTCCTTATAGCGTTACAAGGTTAGCCTACCTTACAACGTAGTAATATTACCTATAAACTTCAATAATATTTAAATTTGCATTTAGTTAAAAATATTTTATCGCGATGTTAATACATTTAAATGTTTCCGGTCATAATTTGATTTCATTCGACCAAAAAGTTAGTATCAAGATTTAGGTTCCACAAACCCAGCATTTTTTTCATATAACTCCAGCTTATACAGTAAATAATTCTTGAACATTAAATTATACTGAAACTTAATACACGGCTAAACATAATTTACTTTGGGGAACAAAATTTAAGGCCCTGGCAAGACTTGACCCCTCGTGGACTCGGCCTAGCCTTGGGGTATTCTGTGGACTCAGTATAGGTCTGTGGTCCCTCCTGGGCTCAACCTATTTCTGGGTTTCCTCATGGGATAAACACAGGCTTAGGGCTCTTTGATCTGAGTTCCCCTTAGTGATGAACGCTAAACTTGTCACACAGGACACAAAGGTGTTCCTACATAAACAGTGGGCCTGTTTACCAAAACGTGTAAGGCCTGGGATGAAAATGGGCAGTTACCTAAGTACATCAGTTTATACAGACACCCATGTCATTACCGTGGGCAAACTTGACTACAAATATCATTATCCAGTACGCACCAAAAAAAAAAAAAAATTTTTACAAAATGTCCTTTTCAAGACCTTTTTTACACGAAAGGTACATTAGAAAAGATGAAAAAGAGGTACAGGGTAATGATTAGTCTGTTTGGTCAAGCAAATCTTTGGGAAATCTGAGATACAGATTGTAGCATGTTAATACTGTGAGAGTGCTGATAGTTTCTCATGTTTGTATATTGAGTCTTCTGGTTAGTGTACACTTTGATTCAAATATTGGTATACCTTGTAATGTGTGTACAGCTGCACACTTACACTGGTACCTCTTAGCGTATGTACAGCACACACCAGAAGATAAGTCTGTACACCTGCAGTGAGAATGCACTTTGCATACATTATGGAGGTATATTTTAATGTAGTTATATCTTTTCAATTGTTAATTTATACAAGTTTACAGTGTTGGAACTGCATACGACATACGGTACGAAGCAGTTTCATATTAACAACTTTATGCTACTAGCAACAAACACCGTTTTAACTGTTGGAAGATGGTTCCATATATAAATATGATTTATTAATCTCTATACATAGATGATATGGTAGTGCTGCACACGCAAATCAAATGTATAATGGTTGTTGCATGCATATCTTCAAGGTGGTGGGACAACAGTGATTATATAAAGTAACATACATGTGTACCTGTACTCTAGCTGAGGATGATCTTCGTAACAGCACTGAAGTAACTCGTGAACTTGGTACTCTAATTAGTACTTGGAAAATACTGACGAATGAAACTAGGCTAAAATAATTGAAGTGTATGGACCCTCCTTAAAAAAAAATTAGCAAGTGTTATATCTTCAAAACTGTCAGTCTTTAAGTTTTGTGTAACATGTACCCGCCGCTCGCGAGGTCATATACAGTGTGTCGTTCATCAAAGTGCATGAAACAGAACAAGTACAAAAATGACAAGATTTTGTATGAGTACAAAGGCATCTGTTACCTTCACGCCTATCTAATAACAGTTGTAGAGGTATCTTAAGCTCCAGTCCATAACTCATTAGGTAAACTTAGATAAACACAAGTAGTACAACATTACACACAGTCCAGTAATATTCTAAATAAAATACGAATAATTACTAACTCGAACGTGAGTAAGTGAAGGTGGTGTGAGCCACAACACCATTTCTTGGCCAAAAGGATCTTGGCGATGCCAATCTACGCTTGCATACGCCCAGGGATGAGGGTTACAAGAGTCTCCCCTTCCCTCTGACTTCTCATTTCTTCTCATTCACTGATTGTCAAACGCTAATCCATTGACTCCCAAACACAGAGGTAGAAACCAATTCAAAAATGTGATAAAGAAAATCCATTAATGTAGGTCATCTTACACAGCGTGAGGCTCTCTGAGACAGCACAAAGACTGCTCAAGTCTATTACCACGTCCCCTTTATTTTAACTAGCGAGACTGAGGGGTCGCCACAACGCTCTTACCTCGAACATCACAGTGTAAGTCTCACCCAGCGTAAAACATCACCAGACACTGTACAAGAGAAACCGCGGTTTGTCCCCCACGTGAAGTTCTGGAATAATATATTATCTAATATTCAACAACGTGTGTGAAACAGTCTGCTGTAACAAGGAGCAGCGTGCAGTCTCATCCTGGCTCTCAGCTCCTCCCCCCTCCGTGCCTGGCGAGACCTCGTGGGGGGAGGAAGGGAAGGGGACTGTTCCTGAGTCTTTAGCGCCTCATTAAGGCTCAACGAAGCACCAATACTACAGGTAGCATCAACAAGCTCAGTACATGGAAGTTGGTCCATGCCCACGCCCGCGTCCCTGCATTCCACGCCCACGGGTCCCGAGTGTGTAGTTTCTGGTCCTCAACAGTGGGCGTGACTTGCCCGAGTGGGCGGCGAGCTGTGGGGACAGGAACTGGTCCTGGGGCGGCGGCGCAGGCGTCGTCGCTAGGAGGCTTCTCACAGTGGCTGTTATCTTCAGCGATGCAGGCAGCGTGCGCGATGGCGTGGGCTATGTAGGTCTGTTCTACCGTACCAGAGAAGAGGTGAGCCCCAGGACCCATAGCGTACACTGGCACGTCCTCCCCACCGTGCGTTTCGTACCTGCAAGAACGAGGACACACAAAAATAATAATATGCCATTTTGTTCAGTTACATGATATTGGCATCATAATGAAGTACAATAGTGCATTACATGTGCAGGAAGTACCACTTAATGCCTTTCCTACATACTGGCCTCATTATTAGTGTGATAAATGGGACATTGTTAAAACATTTTTTCATCCTAGGTATCTTTAGCATCTATGTCATGATAGGGATATTTAAGTCTGAAGGTGTACCTAAATAGGAAGAGTGAAATCTTTATTGGTACTATACTGTTTGTACGCCACCACAGTCATCCTCTTTATACTCCCTCCTCTCGATGCTGAAGCATCCCAGATTATAATGGAAGATAGCTCCCATTACCCTATTCATGCAACCCATCTTGCATGAGGGAATAAGATAAGAAAACGGTTTTATTTTGTTTGTGCAGATGTACTTCTTCCAGGTGCTTGCAAACTCTTGCACCATAGTGGAGTGGATAATTTTCATGACAAAATATTTCTGGAGAATGACATTTCAAAAGTAGGAACTGAGGGTGTCAGATTTCCAGTGTTTATTCCGGTTCATCCTCTAGTTATTAAACAATATTTACACCGTTAGTAGTTTAGCGCTTCCCCCTTGATTATTATAATAATACACCGTTAGTAGTTCTAATCTAAATAGCTTTTCTAAGCCATACTCAAGGCTGGGCGTACCATTAAGGTGTTTGAGCAGTGTGGGGTACGAGAGGTTTTCACATAGAAGCGCTTTTGGTTACTGTGATGGAGTTGCTGGATTTACGGTTCCTTTCAGTTACATTGTCCCACTTTTTGCACGCGTTTGCCGATATTACTGCCACCCCTCCCTTTGTGCAATGCTATGAATCGTGGCTCACATTTTAACTACTCATAGTTTCAATTTTTCATTTAATTTTATTTTCACATCATTAAGGGTATCTTAATGATGTGAAAACCATACGTGAGACATTCGTCTCACGTACGGTTACGTGCATGACTTGAATCTTGTTCCTTTCAGTGCATTTTGTTGTATGATGCTGTCGACAATACATAGTGTAAGTGAACTCCCCATCCCACTCAGTGTTTGTACCTTTAGACTTCATAACTGTTTGAAGCTACCAGGTTTCCTGTAGGGGGCCTTACCAAGGACCCTTAGGCAAGATATGTAGTCTATTTTGTCTCTCTTTTTAGCTCAGGGTGCATTTTTGGGGATTTTTACTTTGAGACTTTCTGCATCTGTACAGATAATTTTTTGTGATAGTTTACTATTTTACAGGGCACTTATCGTTGGAGCGTAATTTTTTTTTTTTTGGAACTGTGCTTAGTGTCTTGAGTACTGAAAGTCATTAGTCCTAACACTGTACTGCCACCCACCACAAAATTTTTAAAAAAACCACCTAGGAACCCCCCCCCCCCCAAAAAAAAAAAAAAAAAAGTCCACTTACTTCCTGGGTACTGCTGCTTGCTGAACAAAGTTGATGTCCTGCGTATTAAAACCCGTGAGGTCCTGGCGCCCGGGGGGGTGGGTGGGTAGCCGGGCCCGTTACCATAGAGGAGGTGGTGTAGGGTTTCCCATCCAGGTCACTGTTTTCAGTGTCGAACCCTGCAAGGGGGGGGGGAGGACTGCAGTCCACTGAAACACAACAGCACCCCTACCGTTGTGATTTTTTCCCAACTTTGCGCTCTGGGAGTAATGGGTAACTTGTTCCAAATACTACACAAAAAGCTAGAAGTTGAACTAGCAGAAAACACTTCACCAAAAGCTAGTGAAAGTCAGCATATCATGGCCCCGGCAGTCCTTCTCATGGCTTGACTCGAACCCAAACCGGGTATTACCCCTTGCCAAAAATTACGAAACTTCCTGAATGTTGGAATTTTAGACGCTAACCCCCATCATTTGTCCAAATAAAGTAAAGGGCGGAAAACTACACCTTTAAGATGCTTAGTACTTCTTTACCCAAGCGATGATCGTTCAAGTTAAATTTTTGGTGAAAAAATTTTAAAATGGGTTTTTTAAAAACAATTACTTACGTAAAAAACATTTAGCGAATTTTTGAAGATGTTCGTAATATCCAGGTTTTGAGGCCCGGTAAAAATACAAGTTCTGAAGGTCCTGGATACGCTGCTCTAGAGGTTTTTTCTTTGGACTTTCCCCATTTATTCGTTAATTTTTAAAATAAAAAAGCTAAAACAAATTAAATTTCCCCCCCCAAAAAAAAAGTCAAAAAGAAAAAATTTTTTTTTTTAGACTTTCAAAATTAAAATGATTTAAAAGGGAAAAATATTGCCCCAAAAAAAATTATAAAGAAAAACTGTTTTACGTTACTGAAGAAAAAGCAAGTGTGCTTAAGTACACTACAAGCTGTTGAACTAGTGCACAAGCGTGTTTAATACACACAAGCGGTTGAACTAGCACTAAACATGTTGAACTGTGCTACAGGTCCTTTAATCAAATAGTATAAAAAGTATTTTTTTAAAGTTACGTGTGTGTCAAATACTTCTTTTAAATGGAGAGTCATAATACAACTGATCAAAAAGGAAGAAGGAGACTACCGCACAAGACAAAAGCAATCTATACCTTGAACAGACTTTCCTTTATGTATACTGTAAATTACCCTTTCGTAGGTCTACGTTGTGCCACTGAGACCCTGGGTTCGCGATGACAAATTCTCTCCCCATTCAAATATTTTGACAAAAAAACTTTATGCAAAGAATTTTAAAAAACTTGGTAACTCATATTGTGTGGGGAGCTATGTAGAACACTTTTTGATTCTTTTCCCCGGCAGCATGTATTTTCAGTTTGTGTTTTTAGTTTCTTTCCAGGTGTTCGTCATATGCCGCTCTGAGCCTCTCCACACAGCTGGTCTTTTGTTACCCCTCCAAACTTTAAAATTTTCAATGCATTCCTTCCCATTTTCTCTCTCTCCCGGTAATAGAACATGTATAGGTTTAAAAAGAAGTTTGGGCATGGGCAAGACGACATACGGCTTAGGGCCCAAAAATTTTGAACATTTTGGTAAATCATTTAAAACCGGGAGTTATTGGACTGACATCTTTGTCAGTCACAGGAAAGGTGACGAAGTAGATTTCCCAAAGCGGACCCCCACTGTTATGGGAAGAAATCTTCAGAAAGGAGGGCTACTTTGCTTTTTCTTTGAGCTCCATAAAAACCCCCACACTGTGCGTGTTTTTAAATTTCTTAAAAATTTTTCGTTTATTTTGTACGAAGCTTTTAGAGGCAGCAAAACAAAGTTTTAATTGCCTAGATACCACAGGAGGTTGATAATCGGGGAGTTGACTTAATAAGTTGGCACATGAAAAACCCCCAAAAATTAATCCTGAACAACGCGAACCCAAATAAGGAAATTCAGCCCCAACTGCACCCCGACAGCGACAGGGAGCCCTGGTCAAAACCCCACCCGCCAAAAGGGGCCCCCGGCCCCCGTTTGTTTTACAAGATCCCCCGGTTTAACGGACCCCCTTTCAAAAGCAGAATTTGCCCATACGAGGGGGGGGACAAACCCTGGGAAAATTTTGCAAAATTAAAAATTAGGGCAACCCCAATTTTTATGAGAAGCTTACTACCGCGGGAAAATGCTTCCCCAAATTTGGGAGTGGTTTTAGCGTATTATAGGGGCAAAAAAATTTGAGACGAAGCGGGGAGGGTCAAACATTCCAGAGATGAAAAAAATTTTGGTTTTTTTTTTTAATTAGTGAATAAAACTGGGTTTTTTCCTTGCGGCCACGGGTTAGGTTACTGTGGAGTGTTTCTGAAGATGGGCAAAGGTAGGTGGGTGTGGGGGGTCAAAATACCCTTTGTTCCCACTCAATAAAAAAAATTATTCAACTGTAACGAGGGAAAATTCCTGGAGCCCTTCCCCGGAATTTAGGGGTTCTCTGGTTAAAATTTCGCGACAGTTCAAAATTTTCTGCGGCGCTGTTAAAAGGGTTCCCCCCGAGTTTTTAACCCACAAGGGCCCTATTAGTGAGGGGGGGTGGCGGTGAAACCAACCCCCCCATCTTCTGCCTCCACCGCCCATCTGTCCCCCCTTCCCCCCCGGCCACCCACCCCAAAATGAGGACGCTTTACACCCCCGGGGGGGGTCCCTATTTTAGTGCCACAGGTTTTAAAAATCTTTCGACCACGCTTTCACAAAAATAAACCTTTTAAAAAAACCCCGCTAGTGTTTTAAAAATTTTAAAATCAATATTACAAATTTTTTAAAACATTTTTTTTAGATACTGGCATGTATCTTTTAATTTTGGGAAGTTATATGGGTACTTTGTATATCTTAGGGGCAAAGGGGGGTGGATAGTGTCTGGGGGCCCAAATTTTTGTTTAATGAAGCACCCTTTTGTAGTTTTTTACAGAAGTTCATCACCCCTTGTACTTTAAAAGTAGGGGGGGTTTTACAAGAAGAAACCATTAAGACAAACCCGAGTACAAAAATATATTCTAGAGTAATTTTTTTCGGGAAAATTGAAGAGACGTTGAAAGCAAGTTCTTGGGGTGAGAGCCTCGGGCAAAACCCGCGTGCTTGTGAGAGCTGCCGGGGCGGAAAGGGTGGGGTGTGATTTTTTTTTCCCAATCTAACTTGCTGTTAAGCAAATAATTTAAAAGTTTCTTTTTCGGGGTTAAAGGGAAAACCCGTTCCCAAAATACTCGAGTTTCTTAGGTGGGAAAGTTAAAGCGTGAAATTAGAAATGTCGTTGTTTGTGTGTTATTAGATGGTAATATCCCTGTTTTGGTAGATACACAAAAAGAACACAGAAAAAAAAATTGGGTGTTGGCGCAGGGGTGGTTAAAGTTTTTAGTTTTTTATTTAAAAATTGAATTTCCCCCCCGGGTTTCCTCTTTTTAAGTTTAATCAATTTTTTCCACCGCCCCATTCACCTGCTCCCACCCATTTCCAACCTCCCCCAGCCGAAACACCAGCATGGTGTTGGGTTTGGGGGGACGCAGTGGTGCTTTTAAAAACCCCAAAACTAATGGGGTAGTCAATGCTTTTAATAAAATGCAATTAATGTCTTTTAATAATTAGCTGCACCTTCCCCCTTTTCTGCTTTAATAGGTATGGATCCCTTTTGCCGTATTTATAATTTAGTCATGTTAAAATATAATCTTTAAATGGAATATTTAGTCCATTGTTCAGCCAGATTTTAACGGTCCAAATTTGGTGCCCAAGTACAAAAAAATTAGGGGGGATATACTATATTTAGTCGAAAAAAATGAGTTACCAGTTTTAGAAAAGACCCAGCTCAAAATTTGTTTTTGCGCCCCCGTTTTTTTTTTTTTCTTGGGGGTTTGTGGTATTTTTTTTCTAAATCCCCCAGAGTTGTGTCAAAGGTTACAGGCTCTTTTCTTTTGTACTTTTAAAATCCCCCCCCCCTTAGACAAAAGGAACCCATTTTGGAAAAGGAAAACCAGCAGGGAGTGGACAGCGACCCGCCGCAGAAACAGCCTGGTTGACGGCAAGCCCCAGCAATTCGGGCCCCATACTGTTGGAGTAAAATTTTCCCAAAAACCTTCAAAGATGAGCTGCTGCATTGCGTCGAGCAGACTAGCAGGCTCCAGTAATAAAGTCGGGGTCACAGCCCGGGGGGGGGGCGTTGCCCCCGAAACCCCCCAGATATCTCTGGTTTCTTGCTTTCGGTCACACCTGTTTTAGTGTTTGCTCAGGGGTTCTTCCCGGGGGGTAGGAACTAAAAAATGGGGTGGGGTTTCCCCTCTCTAAACAAATTGCCTTTTTTTCTATAAAATATAAAATTTTTTCATACATTCTTTCGTTTGTTTTTTTTTAAATTATCCATATGTAAGGAAAAAAATTTTTTGGCTAGGGGTACCTGACAGGGATGGTGATTGCGACGTCTGGTTTAGGGGGGGGGGGGGGATGGGACATATCGGGCAATCCATTGGGGTCTGTAATCGTAAAAATGTTAAGTCCCCCTGTTTTTTTTTTGGGAAATTTAAAAGTTTCCGTTTTAACCTGCGATCTCCGTTCCAGCTAAAATCTTACCGATATTCTTTCAGAAAAATATTATTCGACAAAAATTTACTAAAGATTTCCCGTTTTTTTCCATTTAATTGTAAAAATAAGGATTTCAAATCTAAAATAAAAAAATTATATTTTTTTTTTCCCCCTTCGGTCCGACGAAAGATCGTTAAAATTAATCAAATGTAAATTTCGTGATTGTAATTTGAGAGGGAATGGTCAAAATGCACAAAAATGTAGTGGACAATGGAAATAGAGATGTGGTGACTGTGCTGTCCCCCTCCCTTACCCCAAAAGCAGCATTATAGAAATAAAGGAGTTTTGGTATTGTAGATCAAACTTTTAAAAATTTTTACCCTATGATTTTGCCGTACCTTCCATTTTTTTCCTTTAGTTTTTTGGGAGAGTCGATTTATCTTCCCAACTTAAAACGTTTGGGGACTCCCCACTCGGGAAAACAGTACGGCTTGTATTCCTCGCCCCCTTCAAAAGGGGTTTAGGGCTATCTGAATACTTACTC